CAGGGGATCGATCCTTCGAGTGTTACGCTGTCACAGCTTGGAATGAAGTTTGTTCTTTCTCGGACCAAGACCTCTGGACCTGGGAAACGTATTGGGCAGCTGCATGGATACCTTGTGAGGAGCATAAGCCTTTCTGGATACGACTGGATTGCGCATTCATGCAAACTCTTGATGAGCGAGGATTTCAAGTTTTGCTCGAGATTTCTTGTGTCCGGACATTGGTGAAGCGTGGGAAGTCAAATCGAGGGAGTACGTTGGGGCAGAGGGCGTCGCCAACCTTGTGCGCCGTGTGATCTTGGAGTTGCCTGTCCCGGGGAAGAAAGATGGAGTCTGGGGTTTGAGCAAGACGACGAAGCTGGTTCCGAAGGAGCTGGCGCTCTTCTGGTCTGGGCACTCACCGAGGCACTTCCTTCCATCCTTGGCGGCGGTGATTGGGATCGATGAGAAGAAGCCCGACTTCCTCGGACGGTGGGCGGCTGCGCGGCAAGGGTCCACTGCTTATGTGCTGACGGCTAGACAGATCATTCAGCAGATCCAGGCTGAGGTGTGCGAGACGCTTCTGACTGGGAAGAACCAGCCCGGCTACATCGAGGAGGAGCTGCTTCTTCGCTTAAAGGCGTTTGCGGAGCAACATGGTATTTCAAATGGGGCGGTTGCCCGCCCTATGGTGTGCACTCAACTTGTGCTGGAGTCTTCAAGGAAAGTTTCCAGCAATTGCGGTTGATCCTGGAAGCCACCAGCAGGCGGTGGCCGAGCCACCGAGGGACCAGCCAGCGCCTCCCCCGGAGGAGGCAGAGGCGCCTTACTTTGTAGTTGTGAGTCGGAGTGGGCATAGGCGTCTTCACATGTCTCGCTCATGTGCAGTGAGACAGGAGCGTTGCTTGGAGACCATCCCTCTGTACAGTGTCACTCAGGATTCAGCTGACGCGATTTGTAAGTTGTGCAGGCCCCGGCTACAGGAGCAAGGGGCGATTAGCAGTGAGTCCGCATCCTCAGACGGCCCAGAGTTGTGACAATTGAGGGGTTTGAAAATTTCCGCTGCGGCAGTGGCTTATCCTTGTGTGTCAGAGCCGGCAGTGCATCAGTTGTGCCGCGTCCCGTGAGTGACAGATTGGGACATTACATCAGATTGAGAAGAGCCGCAGTCACGTCAGTATCAGGTGGAGTTCTGTGACATGCTTTACATGACTTTCACGTTGTGCGATTTGAGGTGAGCTTTTCAGACTCTTTAGACACTGTCGCATCACTTTCACGCGGTGCGTTTTGAGTTCGCTTGCAGTGAGTTCCAGACATGGAATTGCCGGCTGGAGTGAGTGAGGAAGCTGCGTCAAAGTTCTTGTCCACTGAAGTCGATGCTGAGCTTGCACACATCCTTCAGGAAGCTGGAGTCCCACTTGGGTTGCAGTATAAGCTCACACAGTCTTTCAAGACTGTGAGGCGTTTTCAATCTTATGAGGACAACCGGGCAGGGATCCGAGAGGCCTTGAAGAACGATTTCGCTTTGGAGCCTTCTACCCTCGATAAGCGTGCTGGGGTCTCAGCTGTGATTAGTGCCTGGGAAGCGTGTCAACAGTTTGCTGCGAAAGAGCAGGAGCTACGCGCAGAAGCGCGTGTGTTAGGGGTATCGGCGACCCACGGCAAGCTTGAAGATGCACATGAGCCTTCCGAGGATTATATCTCGTGCAAAATGGAGGAGCTTAAGGCTCATGAACCGACGGCTTCACCGCTGTCCGAGGTTACATCACGCAAGACTGTGAAGACTCAGGGGATCCAGACTGCTGTCGATTCCTCAGGCCATGTTCGTATTGTGCGGACAAAGGTCAAAGGATCACTGCCCCAGGGCACTGAGGAGTTGCGCGCTGTGATGCGTGTTGAGTGCAATCTGTGGTGCTTCTTGGCCACCAAGTATCGCAACCGCGAGCTATTGCGAGGCATGGACCCCGAATGCTGGAATCAGTACGTGGCATTTCTGCTATCGGAAAAGGTTTATTTGATGAAGGTGCCAGTGGCTGGCGGCAAGGGCCATCAGACGGAGCATGTTCCATTGAGGCCTCCGTGGACAGTCTTGTTGAATTTCGAGTTTGAGTTGCGAAAGGAGGCTGTGAAACAGGCTGTTCAGGGTAACCGACCTTTGAAGGACACGCTCGTGGAAGTCACGTCTGACGCTCAGCTCAAGGAGCAGTATTTCACTTCACCCATTGCCCTTCAACAGGTTGGACCTCCACCACGCCCGGACCCATTCTGGCCACAGAGACGGTTCCTTGGTCCGAGAGCCCAACCAAGTGGCAGAGGACGGGAAAGGGGCGTGGCGATGGAAAGGGCAAGAACGGCAAAGGGGGCAAGTCCAATCGCGATGATTCTAAGGGCGATGGCAAGGGCCCCGGCAATGGCAAGGGCAAGAGTGATCACGCGCTTTGGACACATACGCCTGATGGGCGTCAGATCTGTTTTCCTTTTTAATGCTCAGGGTTGTGACGGCAGCTGCGGTCGAGTTCATGTATGTCGCGTCCGAGGGTGCATGCAATCCCACCCGATGTGGCAGCACTTCCAGAGCTTGGCCGCGAAGGCGGCCGCACCGACCGGGGCCCAGGCCACCAACTGACGTTCCAAACTCACCGTGCTTTACCTTTTCGCTGGAAGGGCACGGGATGGAGATATCAGATCGCACTTACAGCAGCTCTGCACGTCGCGGGGAATGGATTTGTTTTTGCATGAGTTTGATTTACTACGATGTCCTGAACAGGATCTTTCTTCGCACAGGCTTTGGGAGCGTCTCTTCAAAGAGATTTCGTCTGGAGCCTATGATGTTCTTATTTTGAGCCCGCCATCACCTTTTCGCGGGCCAGGCATCGTTTTGCGGGGGCATTTGGCCCTCGCCCACTTCGTTCACATGTTCATCTGCTGGGCTAATTTTTTCGTGCGACGGTCTCTTGAGGCCGTCCGTTTACAGAGGCAGCAGGGCTTATACTTCATTCTTGAGCATCCGGAAGATCTGGGCCGTGTGCCATCCAGGTGAGAGGGGCAGCAGTACGCTACAATGTAGCAACGGGGTTCCCTGATTCGGGTCCATGCTCGAGCCTCCATCATCCGTAGTCCGCCGGACGCTGGTGCCAGTGCCACGGCGTTTGGACGTGGGTAGGGGGCCTCTTTCGGAAGCAAGAGACATTTGGATGAGGCTCCCGTCCCGCACTGGTGACTTGTGTCCTTCCTTTGCACTGGTGAATTGAAGCCGTCTAGCTCATCCTATAGGAACCACCACCAGATCTCGGGGCGCGCCAACTCATACCACAAGAGGTCAAAAATACGCCCTTCCGGCAGCCGCAGCACTGGATCACAAAATTGCGGCAGCGCAATGGAAAGTGCAAGCAAAGGAGTAAGGCACACGCGGAAGGCCTCAGTTTGCGTGCCATGGCGCAGCATGAGAGCTCCACAAAATCGACGACTCTGACTCCGAAGTTCTGAGGGCTGACCTTGACTTTTCAACCCGGCAAGGAGAGGGGCAGTGAGAGAAGGGCAAGGCAATTCCTCGCCTGGCAACGGCGTCAACACTGGGCGACAGCAAGCGGGGCGGATGCTCCACCGTGCATCTCGCGATCATTCCACGTCGCCACGGGTAGAAAGAGTGGAAGCAGCACAACTTTGGCCACAGAGTTCCGCGGTCAAGGTTCTTACTGCGCAAGCCGTATGTCTGATACAGAGCATCCCAACTGATAACATTGTGGAGGTTGGCATGTTCCAGAGCTGCAATGTTCCCCACCAATGGGAATGATTAGCGGGCCAGTGAGCCTCGTGCTCCCAGCTGTGAGTCCCGAATGCGCATCCTCTCCTGTTATGGTGAACCGACCTGCCTTGTCCACCAAACAGGACATCTGCACCAGTGGTGCCAGCGCACACAGTTGTGGTGCAAAGGTTGATAAACACACCAAGTTCATTGTGTTGGTCATGAAAAAGTGGAACAAAGTTCCGCTTGCTGCGTGGTGGCCAGCTCGCCTGGCGGAGGAAAACTTCCTGTTTTATGATGAAATGCCTCAGACCCAGCCCGTGTTTCAGGATATCAAAGATTTGGGTTGGCGTCACCACCGTGATCTTTCTCCGAGCCTGCAGGGCTCCCTTTTCAATCTCCTTAAATATCCGGAGGCATCTCTTCATCCGGAATCTGCTGATAAGACCCACGGAGCGGAGCGCAGTTATGTTTATCCTGGTCTAGCGAAGCCAAAGGCGAAGCGCACTTGCAGTTTTCAAACAACATTGTTTAAACCACAGTTTTAGCTTGTTGCGATTTTACAACAGATTCCGATTTTCATGTGGTTCGATGCTGTTTTTCGCATCACGATTTCCAGCATGATGCTTCGGTTGATCTTGTGCGATTTTGAATCATGTCATCCGGCGGTGTGTTCAAGGCTGAGATTGCTTTGGCTCAAGCCATTTTGGCTCAAGGCTGAGATTGCCGGAAATTTTTCAAGGGGCTCTCTAGAGGCTTGTAGCTTTGCGTCTAACAGGCCCGAGTCCTCCGTAATCCGGTGTTGCTCTTAGAGCACCGTGCAAGAGCCCTGCTGGGGCTCGGATGGACTTCCGCCAGGCCCTTGAAGCGGGATCTTCGGCTTCTGCTTCCAGTGACACTCAAGAAGCCATTTCCCAACATTTGTACGACCTTTCGCTGCAAGTTGCTTCTCTTGAACAGCAGTTGCGTGCTGTGCGCGCAGAGCTCAGCGACATCCAGCGCGAGCTCCGGGGCCTGGAAACTGAAAGGTACCAACATTCCCTGCGCCTGGGGTGGTTGGAAAGGCTTGTGCAGCGATTGCATCAGGTGTTTCGCTCCGAGTCTTAAGCTTCTCTTGCGGGGGATGAGTGCTGAAGCTTTTTATCCGGATGAGGGGGCCGTCTCGCAGTCTGTTGAATCAGGTCAGCAGGTCCCTCTGTCTGCCATACCTGCCAGCCCAATATCTCCGAATTCGGCTGTGTTTGAGGGCACCCCTGATCAGAGTCCCTTAGCGGCCTCCATGAGCAACCCCGCCGAGGGCGATGATCTTACTGAGGAGCTACTGGGGGGCCTGATGTCTCGCGAGGACACACAACTTCCCCCTGACGACGACCCGACTGCAGACCGATTGGAACAGCAGCTTGCAGGCTTCATTGCCTACGGCGGCAGCGCAGGTGATTGGCATGCCATGAACTCAGGTTTCATTCTTGCAAGGCATTCCCGTCAGGCGATGCCGTGGGAAAGAGTGACGAGGCCCCGCTTGGGGCCCGGCTTCATGTTCCAGGAGCCGTTGCTAGGTCGTTTCGACGGTCTTAGGAGGGCGGCGATCCCCGCCCCTGCAGCAGGGCCGTGGGCATGGGTGCCCAAAGGAACTTACGAGGCCAGGCGACTTCTCGCAGCCAGGTTTGCCAAAAGCGATGACATGCTTAGGCTTACCGCACTAAAGAAAATTCGGCTCATCGTGCTTTTCTTCCCGGATGATTCGGAGCTTGGAAGGAACCTCGTGGGTTCTGCAGGCTCCCTGGTGGAGGAATCCATGCTGACCTCGACCATCGAGGACACTTTTTCAGGCAGAGCCGCCAGCACCCTTCTGAAGCGTGCCTCAGATTTCTCAAGGTTTGCCAAGTGGATCGTAGCTAACAAAGGGCGCCCGCTGGCGCCGTCCGAAGGCGAGTTGTATGCTTACATGCTTCACTTGCGACGGGAGAAAGCCGGAGCCACAGCCGGTGAGTCTTTTCTCAAGGCCTACAAGTTCTTTGTGCACTTGACCGGGGCAGAGACAGGCTCCAGGATTTCCCCTCGTGTGCAGGGAGCAGCCAAGGCGATGTCCCTGGCCAAACGGCCGCTCTGGCAAGCACCTCCCCTTCCGGTGGAGGCAGTGCGGCTCCTGGAAGAATTGGTTCACGAGTCCGAGGATTATGCCTGGGCCAGCATAGCAGGGTTCATTCTTTTCTGCCTCTACTCCTCGGCTCGATGGTCGGATGCGGCTCGAGGGACTCACTTGAGCATTGACGTGGCAGGTAACGGGCTTGTCCTTCTTGAGTGTTCGACAAAACATTACAAGACGAAGGCCAAGGACCGAAAGGATACCGTGCTGCCTTTGATTGCACTGGGCAGTGGCTTAACTCAGCCCTCGTGGGGACGTGTCTGGATGCGCAAGAGGGCCCTGGCAGGGCTACCTGACTGTGCCGTAATCATGCCGGCCATGTCGCCGGGAGGGAACTTTCTAGGAAGGGCCATGACGGCTGCGGAGGGTTCCTTGTGGCTTCGTGAGTTTTTGCACTTGCAGGGTTTCGCGGGGGATCTTGAACAGTACAGCTCGCACAGCCTGAAAGCAACCGCCTTGTCCTGGACGGCCAAGAGCGGGACCATGACCTACGAGGAGCGCCTTACCCAGGGGCATCATTGCAGTCCAAAGCACGGCATGGCTCTCCTGTACTCGAGAGATGCGCTTGCAGAAATCATAGTGAAGGTAGCCAAGGTCGTGAGTGCTGTGAGCAGGGGAGTGCTTAGTCCCGACCTCCCGCGAGCCGACAGGGTCGCAAGAGCTCTGCATGGCGATCCAGCAGATTTTGCACATCTTCCTGAGACGACGGCTGAGGATTTGCCGGCCGAAGAGCCTCAAGATGAGAACAACTCCGAGGCTGGGTCTGACATAACAAACCTAGACGGTCTCGAAGTGGACCTGGGGGCACCGGCCCCGGAGGAGGTCCGTCCTCGGCTAAGCTGCACGTTCTCGGGAGAGACCTACATGCACGTCTTGAGTGGAGTGGTGCATAAGTTGGTCAACCCCGGAATTTTTAAGTGCGGCAGGAAGGTCACGGCGAACATGCGTTTGATGGGGCCTGAGGAGGCTCAGGAGAATGTCTGCCAGCAGTGCGCAGCTTGAAGAAAAGAGGATGTGCTCAGTTGATCGTTTGCTGATTTGCGACGTCGTGCCTATGCCATTTGAGATGAAGGTGCTCGGGCCGATTGAGATCAGTTGGAGTGTTTCTTGCTTCGGAGCACAAAACCGGACTGAGAAGTGTCCGCAGTCTTTTGGCTGGGAGTTGCCAAACTGGGGCGAGTCTCCCGCGCGGCCTGGTGAGCACCCAGGCTTGAACTTAGCGGGAGTTTGAGTGGGGGCTTTGAGATTGCAAGAACCTCCGTGGTCGGCTGCCTTTGCCGGCCTGAGTCATGAAAAATACTATTGGAACGCGACCGGCTGGGATCGCCGGTCCCCGAAGGCCGCCTGTGATCGGTGGCAAAGAAGTGTGAATCCGAGACAAACGCGACCCACGGTTGACTTCGCCGTGGGTGAGACCTCGAAACCTGTATCCTCACCTGCCCAGGTCTCATGGCCGGACTTGAATCGGTGCCCGCCTTCACCGACCGAGCAAAGCAGATCGGCATCAGCGAGGATCTTCTGAACAAGCTCCTTGCTAAGAGCTTGGACACCTTCGGCAAGCTAGCTTTCGTGTGCTCGAGCAAACCTTCCAGCGGGGATGACACTCCTCTCTTCGAAGCCCTGAAGACTCTGATTGGGAGTGAGGTTCCAGTGGAACAACATATGGTGATCAGGCGATTGTGGTACGAGAGCCACGCCCACGCCCTGGTTGACTTGGAATCGAGGGCTTCGAGAACAAGTGATACGAGCCCCCGCGAGCTTCCGTTGGCAGAACGCCTAACACGCTTGAAACGCCAAAGGGGCGAGCTTAAAGGCCTCGAGATGGATATCCACACAGAACCTGGACACGGCCTTGTGGACCGCGTCCAGGCCATGCTCGATTCTGCACAAGTGCTGCACATCGCGCCGGAAAAGTGCATTTCCCGCCATGACGAGATCCTGGGTGAGAAGACGGAGCAAAAGCTCTCTTTGGGAGCCGACGGGAACATCAAGATCACGAAGCAAGCCTCGAGTCTCCGGTGCGAGACTACCGGCGAGCTCAAGCTTCGCCGGTGCTTCCTGCGCCGGGCCTTAGCGTTCGATCAAGTAGGGCTCGCCTCCTTCACTGCAATGGAGTCTTGGCACAACCGCATGTTCCAGGCTCTGCTTGATGTGCCTCCGGCGGGTTATCGCTACACTACCGTTCAGCAGCTGCTCGCAGCTGACCAGAAGCTTTGGCAGGTGGTGGCCCAGGAGAGCCGAGGTGACATCGTCGTCGGAGTCGGAGCCCCGGCTCCTCTTGATAAGCACATAGCCGCTGCTGCAACCAATCAGTTTGTGGTATCCTGCCTGACACACCTTCCTAAGCCTGCCGAGAACCAGGCCCAACCGTGGAAGCCGAATAAGGGACCCGACAAGGGCAATCAGAAGGGAGAGAAGGGTACCAAGGGCAAAGGCCGCGGCAAAGGGAAGCAGAATCACAGCCAAGGCCAGGCTGATGCATCCTCGCAACCGTCCCTGAAGGAGCTGCTGGAGTCGTTACCCGAGGGCTGCGTGCGGGCCAACGATGATGGCCGTTTCATCTGCCCATTTTACAACAAGGGGATCTGTCGCTTCCAGAAACGCAAGTCGTGCCGCTTCGGAAAGCATGTGTGCAACTTCAGGGGGTGCGGGGCCGAAAGGCCCTACAGTGAGTGCAAGCATTGACTAGCCTCGCCCTCGCCCGAGGTTTTCGCCAGGCAAATCTTAGCTCAGAGCACACCTGTTACCGCTGAGCAAGTGATGAGGCTTTTTGATGCCTTGCCGCATGAGCAGTGCGACCGAGACGCCGAAGGGCGCTCCTTTTCGGCAGGGATGTACTCTCGAGTTAAGGTGAGCCTGCGCAAATCTTGTAGGCTTTTTCCACAAACGGTGCGCGTGGTGAACAGGTTTGTAGCCTCTTTGCTTGATGGTGCCGTTTACACCAGTTTTGCCATTTTTGATCAGGTACGCACTCGGCCACACCGAGACAGTCAGAATTCCTTTTCTCCGAATTATGTCATTCCTTTGACCGTTTTCCAAGGGGGAGCTGTCAGGGTAAGCGAGCCAGGCCAGACTGTGGACTTGGAAGTGTCTCGCGGGCCCATTAAATTCTGTGCGCGAGGGCATGAGCATTGCACTCTGCCAGCCACCGGGCGCCGAGTTGTTTTGGTGCTTTTTGCTTTGCAGGCCGGAGGGCGAATCTCCGGAGCCGACAAACATGTCTTGCTTGATTTGGGCTTCCCGTTGCCCAATGCTTCGCAGTTGGCTTGTGACTGATCAGATGCGTCGGATTCTCCCCCTGAAAGAGCCAGCTCCGCCTGCCTCCGAGCAAAAATCATCTCCCTCGTCCGGGTCTTCGGAGTCCGACCAGGTTTCATCGGATCCCGGCGATCCCAAATCAGCGCCTTGTCCGGATCCCAGTGCAGATCAGCGAAGTGCCGCTTCCGCCTCGTGTGGGGCCGTTGAGGGCTGCAACCCCCTGTCGAGTCAGGGCCCCTCTTCGGTCCTTCGTCCTCCCATGCTGGCCGATTGCCTCGCTGTCTCGGGATCTTTATCGGCCGCCGCCCTGCAGGCTGGTTGGGATGCCTTGCCATTGGGCCACAAACGTGGTGCCCCCGAGTGCTGTCCCCGAGTGCCGATTGACCTCTCCGCGAAAGATGATCTGCAAACATTGCTTGACTTTGATCGCCATACACTTGTCGACTGGTGGCATTTCAATCTGTTCATGAAATCTTGCAATCAGGGACGTGATTCTCGAGGACGTGCGAGCCTTCGTGACGCCTCTCACTTGCTAGGGCGCGCCGGCCTCCCTGCCCGCGCCGATTCGCTGGTGCAGCATGAAAACAGTTTACTGCAAGCCGTGGTCGACCTGCTGTTCCGAGCTTATGAGACTCGGGCCCTGGTCAGCTTGATCGGGCCGGCCCGGAGTTGGGTTTGGAGCCTCTTAGCCCACTTTGTCAAGCAGAGGCAGCATCAGGACTTTCTGCAATGGTTCTTCGCTTTGGCCGATCAGGAGCTTGATACTTGCATGTTCGGTGCCCCATTCTTGACATCGCTGCGCATCCGAGCTGACTCTTCATCTTTCCCAAACCTTGGCCGTCCCTGTGATAAGTCCCATAAACACATGCCTTGGATTCCCCCTTCTGCAGGAACGGGTTTCAGTGATGCCTCGCTGCCTGCTGAGCTGTGCCGGACCCTGTGTCGCTCCGCCACAGCGGTCTGCCGAGGTCTCCAGGCCCAAAGAGTCGACTTCCTGCATAGCCGCCGACTTCGAGCTCAGGTGCGAGCGGCAGCGGCCAACCAACCCACCTACATGCCTCCCTTAATCCCTGAGTTTCGGGTTAGGGTTCCTCTGTCCCAAGTACCGAGTGGAGCTGATTACAAAATACTCTCCAAAGGCCGCGGCTCTAGTGCGGGGGACAATGATGAGCCGGGGGATAATGATGAGCCCAATCCTTCTAAGAGGGTCCGGATACAAGGAGATGGTAGAGCCGGAGATCTGGCAGGTGTGTATTTTTCCATGGAGGAGCACCTGCATCGCGCATGTGGGCTAACCTGCCCAGCTGACAACAGTGCTCGTTTGCCCGATGCTGTTCGCCGCAACATTTTTGCCATACTCACGGAAGGCCCAGTGGCTGTGTCAAAGCGGCGGATGCTTGAACTGAAAAAATTGAATGACCGGATGGCGGTGCTGTCTGCCACTGAGAAAGAGCTTCGAGCCAAAATGCATCCGGATGTGGAGCGAGTCACTAAGGGCAAGGCCCTAGCTTTGTTTCGCGAGCTTCTTGAGGAAACAGGCTTTCCCGACATGTCAGTGGTTGACCTTCTTACCGACGGTGTGCCCTTAGTTGGTCAGGAAGCCGAGTCCCCTTTGTTTGCAAAGCGGCCGAAGCCCATGGACCTTGGGCCAGATCAGCTTAAAGCCCAGGCCCCACTGCGGCGGCGCGCATTGCAGAAGATGAAAGGACTTGTTTCCGAACAGGATTACAAGGCGATGAAAGATGAGACTTCCGAGGAACTGGCAGCGGGTTTCCTCACGGGTCCATACCACTCGGAGCAGGAAGTCAGCGACATCTTGAAGACCGATGCATGGTCGCTCTCGCCTCGTTTCCTGTTGAGGCAGGGCGAAGACGCCAAGATAAGGATAATTGACGACTTTAAAATGTCGGCGGTTAACAGGGCCTTTGGTTCCTCGTCTTTCCTAGAGCTTCAGGATACGGATTACGCGGTCGGCCTCCTGAGGTTCCTTTCCCGTGTGCTGCAGGATCGCTCCAAGGTCCGGGTCCCCTTGTCTGATGGCACCGTGCTCGAGGGGAACTGGGATCCCGAGATGCTCCGCCAGCCCGCTCTGCTCGGCAAGACGTTGGACTTGAGTAAAGCCTATCGCCAGGTGAGCATCCATCCTTCCACGAGGGAGCACGCTGTTCTTGGCTTCCCCGACCCGCAAGGCAAGTGGGAATTTTACATAGCCCAGAGCCTGCCTTTTGGAGCTGCTGCAAGCGTGTATGGGTTCAACAAAGTAGCACTTGCGATTCTTCACATCATGGTTGTCAAGTTCGCTGCAATCGCGACCGACTTTTACGACGACTACACTGTATATGAATTTCGCCCAGCTGCATTCCTGCTGGACAAAGTCCTGATGAGGCTGCTGGACCTGCTAGGGTGGACCTACGCGAAGTCTGGGCGGAAGTTTGTGCCGTTTGACAACAAGGTGGTCTCCTTGGGTGTTTCTTTGGGCCTTGACGAGATATGGGGAGGCGCTCTCAAGGTCGAGAACAAAGCGGGACGTCTTGAAAAGATTGCAGAGCTCCTCCAAACAATTGCCCAGGGGGGAGCTGTGACGAGATCTGATGTGGCCTCGCTGCACGGCTTGATCAACTTCGCAGGTGGACTGATTATGGGCTTCGAGCTGAAGCCCACGTCGCGAATGCTGTCACGGGCCTTGTCGGGGCCTTTCCAAGGAAGTACACTCGAACTTCGACTGGCTTGTGCGTTAGCTCTGGATGTCATTGCGCAGTGCAGGCCAAAGCGGTGCCCGGCTACAATTCTGCCGCCGATTGTGCTCTACACTGATGGAGCCTTCGAGAAGGGGCGAGGTACCTGGGGCGCGGTTCTTGTAGATGCTTACACGGGCTCGGGGGGGAAGTCTGCCAGCAGCTGATGGGTCACTGGGGCAAGGAAGCTGGGGCCCAAGTGATTTGTCAGGTTGAGGCCTATGCTCTGGCAATAACCTTGTTCGGGATTCGCGGAGTGCTGAAAGGTCGCTCAGTCTTGGCATGGATTGACAACAACGCCTGCCTTTATGGGTTCGTAAAGCGATACTCCCCCTCGGCCTCCATGATGCGCCTCATCTCCTTGGTGGCCTTGATGGAGAGTTCCATGGAGGCGCTTCTCTGGTTCGAGCGGGTCCCCTCTAAGAGTAACCCGGCGGACCTCCCATCGCGGGGGCAGTTTGCAGAGGCTTGTGAGCGCTTTCGGGCCATAAACAAAGGTGATGTGGCAGCCACTGATACGATGCGTGCTCCCCACTACGAGCCTAAGCTGGCTCAGGCAATCCTTACATCGGCTAGGCTGGAAGCTGATTGGGCACAGGAAGTGCTGCAGTGATCATCGATGCATCCTCCGATCGCGGGGCCGGGGGAAGATGGCTGCTCTGTTCGGCTGCTTTAGCCGTGCTCAGTTTGGCTGCTTTTGCCTTGCTCTAAACGGGTTGTGCTCGCCCGCTCTCGCCATCAACCCGGTAACAGACCCCCGTCGCAACGGAGTGCGAAAAAGAAGCCCTGTCCGAGTGAAGCCATTCTGTTTGCAATACGATAAGGATTGCTGGACTATTATTCCTGTGATTGGAGATTGAAAAATTTCTCCATATATCTTTATACATATTCGTTTCGTTTTCGTATCTGAGGATACTTTAAACTGCAAGGAGACCAGAGAAACGACCCACGGAGCGGAGCGCAGTTATGTTTATCCTGGTCTAGCGAAGCCAAAGGCGAAGCGCACTTGCAGTTTTCAAACAACATTGTTTAAACCACAGTTTTAGCTTGTTGCGATTTTACAACAGATTCCGATTTTCATGTGGTTCGATGCTGTTTTTCGCATCACGATTTCCAGCATGATGCTTCGGTTGATCTTGTGCGATTTTGAATCATGTCATCCGGCGGTGTGTTCAAGGCTGAGATTGCCGGAAATTTTTCAACCACCCACCCGCCCGACATAGTTTCAATACGGTTTTTGAGAGACTGGGGAAGATGGCTGCTCTGTTCGGCTGCTTTAGCCGTGCTCAGTTTGGCTGCTTTTGCCTTGCTCTAAACGGGTTGTGCTCGCCCGCTCTCGCCATCAACCCGGTAACAGACCCCCGTCGCAACGGAGTGCGAAAAAGAAGCCCTGTCCGAGTGAAGCCATTCTGTTTGCAATACGATAAGGATTGCTGGACTATTATTCCTGTGATTGGAGATTGAAAAATTTCTCCATATATCTTTATACATATTCGTTTCGTTTTCGTATCTGAGGATACTTTAAACTGCAAGGAGACCAGAGAAACGGAATACTCGGATTCTCACATCTCCAGATCAATCACATCTGGCTTAGAAGCTGAGGGCTCTTCACCCTCCAAACCTGTGCTCTCATAACTGTGTCCGGGCAGGCACACTCGGCTGTCCAAAGGGAACAAACGCAGCGTGTCGGGTCATCCGGCAGGCTTCTAGAAACTGGGTTTCTTCCACGCGGAACTGGACCATATCCAGTCGTTACGGGTGGACTTCTGTCTCTTTCCGTTCTTGCACTTCCAGTCCCTGCCGCAGGAACCGAAGACTCTCGAGTTCTCGATTTCTCGATTTAGAACTCCCTCAAGGTGTTTTCAACATCCTTCTTTGCACACCCACCTTTCTGTTCCTGCCACCAAAACGGACTTGTTCTCCAAGACACAAGCTCCGCCACCACGTGAAAAACTTCAGGTCCCTCTTGCACCTTTTCAAGAGCCAAACATCACGAAGCGTGAGTACACTGAGTACACATAAGTGTGGAAACGAATTTAAACAAACGAATTATTTTGGACTCAAGTGAAACAGCTGTAGCGCGCTGATTCGCCGAGCGAATCTTGGGATTAGGATTGTGACTTAAAGAGCGATGTGCATGAATCCGTTGGCGAGTTGAAAGACCTTTGATTTGCGAGCCCAAGGGTGTGATCTGAAGCGCAGTCATCGCGCGTTTGAATTTGGCTTGACCTACTGTGCTGCAATGCGCCGCAATCATCATTCGGCTGCGTTTGATGGAAGAAGTCTTCTCAGAAGGTTTTGCAGAGACCATTGACTAAGTGTGCATCCATGTTGTTCGGGATGACGGCACGAATTAACGATAGTATGAAGAAGACTTCTTGATCAAGATTTGTGGAAGCAGCTTACTTGTATCCAGAAGGTTGATAAAGTGGTTGAAGCACCAACAGGTTGGTTGGTGAAGGGGAGCAATGGTTGGTTGAAAGTGAACCTTCGACCGCGCCAGTGGTCCACCTTTGCGTACTTGTGCTGCCAGTAGCAGTGTGTTGCCTCAGCCTCACGCGGCTGCGTTTCCGAATGCCCAGTTGGGGCACAGGTCCAGGCGCCAGGATCTCCGCATGTATGCTAGCGCTAGTATCCCTTTGGGGAAACATCGAAGGTGTTTCGCTAGAAAACTTCGAAGGGGTTTTCCTCTGAAGCTAAACAGAACGAAGCTTGTCTGTTTGCTAGAGTGACTGCACATGGCCGGTGAAGCAGTGCTACTCCGTGGCCATTGTGCTGAAAGGCCCCCAGCTATTGGGGGGCAAATTTCGAGTGGGGGTAGGAAGGGGAACAGGGCTAATTAGCCCTGCTTTGGGTGCGCTGCCATGTCGGACAGCGACGCTACCCTGGCGCCGACGACGCCAGATGGCGCAGCTACAGCCGTGGAGTGCGCTACGGTGGTTGGGGATTCCCCGCCCCCGCTAAGTGCTTCGTGTCCCACCGAGGTCCCCACGCTAGGGGAGGACGATACCGCGGGGGCTCCTTCCGGGGAGGTACCCTCGTGGGTCCCGCAGACCCCAGCTAGCGACCCGCAGCCCGAAGAGACGGGAGTGCTCTTGAGGGCTGGGAGATGGAGGCAGAGCTAGAGGCGCAGGCTACAGTCCAACAGGAACGTAGGCGCACGCTAGACAGGGCCTACCGGCATCTCTCCAGCCAGGGGTTTGGGGTCTTGGAGCTAGCAGTGGTGGATCTAGACGACGCGGAGGATGTCGCCAAGCAGCTAGCTCGAGAGCTAGGTATTCCGTACCAGCCGTGGCTATGGGATGGCGTCTACTGTTGGCTGCAGGAAGCGCGACAGGAAGCTACGGTCTATCAGAGGGTGCACGGCTACTTCCAGGACGATATCACCTGGAGAGCCCGGATGCCACCGCTACCTGCTCCAAGGGAAGAGGTAGAGGACGCGGTGCATCAGCCACCGGTGCCGCTAAGACCTCCCCCCGGGGAGCGGAATCGAAAGACGCTACAGCCCAGCACGATCAGTGCGGCTAGAGAGGAGCGACTGCTAGAGGTTTGGGCAAGGAAGCTCCGTGAAGAGCTGCTAGAGATACACGCCCCTGTTCTCGCTAAGCTGCACGGGAGTCTGGACCCCGTGAGGGCCGCTATGTTGCTTCCGGGGAAGACCCGGGCTTCTACTTTGAAGCGCTACCTGAGCTACTACAGGCAGTGGCGCCAATGGCTCCACGCAGCTAAGCTCAGGCCGCCCCCGGGCACCGCCGCGGACCTGGTGGATTACCTCCTCGCTAGGAGTGATGAACCCTGCGGCCGTTCGGTCCCGGAAGCTATTCTTAAAGCTATCGCCTGGATGGAGAAGGTGGCCGATTTTCCGGTGGAGCTAAGGACCACCTTCGGTCGCCTGGTCTGGGCCGCTAAGGACAGCATAGTGGAGCAGCTAGCGGAGGGGGCTCCCTTGATCAAGAGAGCACCCCGCTACCCCGTCTACATGCTGGTGCAGCTAGAGCTTGTGGTCATCAACCCCGCTCTGGCAGCAGGCTGGCGGATCTGGGCCTGGGCTAAGTTGGTCAAGGTCTGGGCCACGCTAAGATGGTCGGACCTTCAGGCTATTCTGCCGGCCGAGCTGTTGATGGTGGAGGGGCGACTCACCACCATCCTCCGGAAGACCAAGACTTCCGGCGCTACGAGAAGGGTCAAGGAGCTACCGGTCGTGGTGTCGGAGCACGCCTTTCTGGTCGCTAAGAGCTGGCTGGTGACCGGCTTTGATCTCCTCAAGGCCCACGCTAACTACGCCCGGGATTACCTCATGCCGCGGCTGGGCCGGGCGGGGCAACTGGAGAAGAAGATGGCTACCTATGCGGACGCTATGGTGGCAACCGCGGGGCTGCTGGCTATCATGGGCTACCCACGGGAGGTCCAGGGCTATTGGACGGAGCACAGTGAGCGCTCGGTGCTACCAACAGGTTTGGCGCTAAAGGAGATCCCCCCGCAAGACAAGGATCTGCTAGGGCGTTGGAAACCCGAGGGGTCCGACGTGTACGCTAGATCCTTTGCGGGTAGGGTGTCCCGTCTCCAGCTAGGGGGGACGACCGCTACGAGGCGCTCGACGAGCGTGAAATCGCCGCGGATCTCGAGCCCTGGCTGGAAGAAAGGGCCAAGCTAACCCACAGCCAGGCTATCCACATGGCGGCGAGGCTGCGGAAGATCTGGATGGAGGGCCTGCTAGGAGTCCCGACCGAGGCGGAAGAGCTAGAGGTTCCCGAGGGACCGGAAGAGCCCGCGGAACCGCTAGTGGCCGGGAGTAGCTCCGAGGCCTCTGCGGAGGTCGTGGAACGGCCCGCTAAGAAGCAGGCCAGGGTTCCCGACCGCAGCCAGGGCAGCTATGTAATCGTAGAGGTCCCAGGTGCCATTTTCCGCCTGCACAAAGCGGGCGCTACAGGTTGTTGGATGGGGAAGCGACGTGCCTTCCGCAACGCTAGGATTCTTGATTCGGTTCCGGAGCCGCGCGAGTACACACATGTGTGCAAGCTATGCTGGCCGAACCAAGGGGCTATCTCCGAAGGGGACGCTAGCGAAGGATCGCTCGCTAACTCGGAAGATGACGAGGCCCCAGAGGATCACGCACCGGGGTCCGCTAGCAGTCATCCTTGAGCGCAGGGCGTGCTAAGCCGCCGAACTCGCACTCGCACCAAGGCTAGAAAGACTGCTAGGTCGGAACCCTTCACCTCACCTCTCTGCTCTCTCTCTCTCTCTCTCTCTCTCTCTCTCTCTCTCTCTCTCTCTCTCTCTCTCTCTCTCTCTCTCTCTCTCTCTCTCTCTCTCTCTCTCTCTCTCTCTCTCTCTCTCTCTCTCTCTCTTCCCTCCCTTGCGAAACGCCGCTAGACTTTAAAGGGGGTGTGCTCGGGGGGGGGGGGGGGGGGGGGCCTTCGGGCGGAAGGGGGGGGGGGAAGGGGCGGGAGAAAGAAGAGAAGTGGAGGGAACCACGTTGTTGCTACATGTCACTTGCTGTTGCCTGTGTTTTGCTTTCGTGTTCCGCTAGTGTCTTGCAGGAGGAGCAAGGAGCGAAGGCAGGCGCTAGGAAACCGGGGCCGGGCGACCCCTCTGCTGGCCACCCAGGGAACA